TGGAAGTGCTTTCGGGTCATCAAAACAAGAAAAGCACAAGATAGCTTTCACGCAAAGTCAATATTGTACTAATTCTTCAGAGCGTATAAATTAATAACCACACATACATCACTCATGATGGACAGAATTATTGAAGTCTCTAGAACCTTATATTTTGGGGATCTCTGTTAAGTTGTCCTCATTACTGCCTTTTAATAGTCTCCTCTATTAGAGTGTGCTTGAAATCTGCAATGAGGCTGGGTCATCAAAGGTAGTCCTCTTCCCCTCAGTCATTTGAGCAGGAAAGAACTGAACATTATTTCTAATCTCGTCCTTGCTGAGAGCCTACATTCTTAATACAATAGTTGACTAGACTCTAACCTTTAAAGATCTGATAAAATGACTGGTTTTAGGTAGTGGTTTCAATTAATTATGCCAATTATCTCTCTAAATATTCCTTCCCAACTGTCTGCTTTCCCCACTTCTTAATGCATATTCCCCCAAACAGAAATCATCTGTGTTAACCAATAGCAATAAATAAGGGCTGGGAAATGGTAAGTTTACAGTTGTGAGTATGTGAAAGACAGAGTTAACCAAGCTATTGTAATAGTCAATAACCTGCATGTCTTTTTCTAGAGGAACAACAGTAAACCTATCTGTGCCTACCCCTGTATAAACAATCTTATTACATGATTTCTATAATTTCCCAATATAAAGCCTTACATTTTTACACTGATTTACAGGTTGCACAGCACTTGACTTAATCATCTTACAAGCCTATGAAACAAATAGGATAGTAGTTAACTAAATTTTCACTATGAAGCCATAAAGTTTCACAGAACTACAATAGCATCCAGGCACAGCAAAAGTGTCTGGACTTGGCTTCTGACCCAGATTCATGACCACAGATGAAGGGTACTGCTTAGTACTGATGGTCAAAAGGCCAAAGCCTGTGACACTCCACCACTGATAGTTCCCACTCCATTTATGTTAACAATGAGATCATATAAACACAGTTAAAAAAAAAAAAAAAAAGGCAATTTTCCAGATAGTTCAGCTAAAGGCTCTCCCCTTAGCACCCAAATCCTTCTTATTTAAATTAAATTAGATTCATAAAGCAAATAAAATATTGCTCCCTTCAGTTATTATCAGATTTTCTGGTCTTACTGCCTAACAGGCACTTGGTAAATGACAATATGCTGGCATTCACAAGGAAATATATTAGACATTTTTAAGGTCACTTCAAACATACTTCTCAATACTCCCCAATCACATACACAAAAATATACAAACAGGCACATGTCCTTTTCAGTTAAACTCTGAGTCACTACAAGTTAGCATAACAACTAAAAAGTGTCAGCGAAAAAGTATCAGCATATCACACACATGCTGGCTGCCTTGTTTTTGCCTGAAAAATTGCCCCTGGAATTATAGTTTACAATGCCTGCCCAAAGCTCCCATTTTGCAAATGGGATTATCCTACTCCTCTAAAACAATTTCAATTACACTTAGAAGATGAATGCTCTTACAGCTTTCTTGCTCTTTTGATTATGATGATGATTAGTCAGCTAACATTGTATGTTTCCCTTGCCAAACTTTCAGACATCATATATATATACACTGTTATTCAGTAACTTTAAAATAATTTACTATATAGATGAAATAAACACAATTTACTATATAGATGAAATAAACACAACAGACTAACAGAAAGTAAGATTCCTTTTTGTCATTTAACATTGCATTTATCCAGAAATAGTTAAAAGTTAAAGCTTTCTTTCACTCAAATTTAAATAGATCAAGCGTAAATAAACCTTTAAATAGTATTCAGAAACAATTCAGATAACAAAGATAGATTGTAAGTCAATGGATGTCATAGTAAAATTGAATATTTGAAGATTATTTGTAACTAGTGGATATAAGCTAAAATTTTTAAACTAGATGATTTTTGCCAATTGCAATATGTTTACCTTAATTTATTTTTGGCTTCTTTAGATTTTAAATTTGAACGTAATGCTAAGTCTATTTGCATTTAAGGTTCTTTGGGCATGTGGGTATCACTCATATCTTGCATAACTACACCACTTAGGTGAGAATAATTGCCGAAGCCTGCTCATCATCCAGTGTAGTAAATGTAATTGTGCATGAAGTTAAAATAATTTAAAACATTCTCAGAGGGCAGAGTGAAAAGGCAGCTATCATTACTGAAACGTTATTACTGCCTGCCTGTCTTGTAGGTATCTTACCACAACTGCAGTCAGCCTCAAGCTGAGCTTCATATCAAAGAAAAAAGTTTCCAGGGTTCATCTAAGTACTCTGTCTACTCAGTTCTCCTTTTCTGATTATCTCCCTCCTAATTTTGGTCTCCAGATGACCTTGGAGAATTGCTTTGTGAATGCAGAATGATAATTTATGCTTCATCTTTGGAAATTCCCTTTCTTGGTAAAATCTAGTTTTTATATTCATTATGCTGGCTTAAAACTATGTAATGATAACATTGTAGAGGAGCTTCTGTTATTGGTGGGGTGTCTTCCGTGTCCCCACCTGTTGCTGGTGTAAGTGGGCTTCTTGTTGATGTCATGAGAAAAGGAATTTTCTTGAGACTTGCATGGGAAAATGAGTGGCAGTTATTTGTGTGGAATTAAATTCCTGTTTCAAAGGTCCTCTCTCTCTCAAGGTCCACTGCCCTGGAAGATCAGCTGTGTCTTTAGCAAAGCTAGAACTAAAGCCATTGCTCAGAGTTTCAGTTCCATATTTGCACAGTCCAAACCAGCATCAGGTTAGCTTATTTTGTGTTCCTACCTATACTCCACTGTGTGTGGGGCCTGCATGGCTATGGGCCCTGTGGCTTCTAGGTTAAGGTGACCAGATGCTTCAATTTTTAACAATTTGTCTCACGTCCCATGGTGTTTTAAAAGAATCTTTCCAAAAATCGGGACTTTTCCAGACTGTCCCACCAAAAGCGGGACATCTGGTCACCTTATTCTAGGGCCACATAGCTATGAAAGGAATACAGATGAGTGCAAGAAAGCAGAAGCAGTTCCAAAGGAACAGGAGAGAGAGAACTCATTTGTTTGGGGATTATATATTCTCAAATGTTTGCAGGCTTGCATTGCTTTCATTCCTCTAGCCAATTATCCCTGTTCCCAAGGTTGATTGACAGACACCTTCCTGTCTCACCTCTACTTCACTGCACTTGTGCTCATCTTTACCTTTGTCCAGTCCCTTCCCCTAGTGCAGTAGTTGGCAAACCATGGCTTGCAAGCCACATGTGGCTCTTTGGGCCCCTTGAGTGTGGCTAGGCATTAGAACCACTTCTTTAAAATAGACTTACCCAGGCCGAAAACCGACTTCTGCACATGGGCCACAAAGTTTCATTTGCAGTGTATGTGCGACCTGCACATGGTACTTTGTGGAAGAGCCACTCTCAAGGGGCCAAAGAGCCACATGTGACTCACGAGCCACGGTTTGCCTATGACTGCCCTAGTGATTTGCAGAGACTAGACCAGTGGTTCCCTTGGAAATGTGATGTTGTAGCTTCCTGGTGAATCTGCCCAAGTGACTATGCTTATAATGCCTGGACTCCCCTTTGCCTTCTTCCTATCTATAATAATAAAAGTGTAATGTGCTAATTAGATCAGACATCCTTCCGACCTTCTGGAAAAAGCCAGGCAGCAGCTGCCATGTCTGTGAGGGAGGGGTCCAGGCAGCTGCTGTGGCTACAAAGGCCTATGCTTGAACAATTTTCATGCATTGGGCCTCTAGTTATTAGTAACTAGCTAATTACAACAGTGACATTTTGACATATTTCCTTGGCATGGAGAGTAACAAGTGAAATGGAAATATTTTTTAAAGAAGTTAAATCATTCAAAAACTCACATTACTTTGGGCACCTTAAGTTCCTATTGGTGGATCCACATGGACAAACAGAAATATGTAAATTTATTGCCTTTCTGAACTGTTGTCTGAGCTTGAAATTAAGCCATCACTTTCACATTGAAATGGACCCTCCATGGATTTGCTCCAGAAAATAATTAGCACATGCATTTATATTTAGTAGGATAGAGCAAAAATTCCTTCATGTTACTATTTACAGTCCATTCATATCGCCTTTATAATTACGAAGGTTCCTTTTACAAAATAATTTAAGCAGTGGAATGAAAATTTAAGAACTTGTTCTCCCAAAGAAAACAGATTGTGTTTGCTTATTTCCATAGTGGTCTAAATATGACCACCCTAGTTGACTACAACCTACCAAAATGGTGTCACTAGAAGTAGAGCTGGGAAGAGAGAGCATCATTGATTCTTGGGTGTTGGTTCTAGTACACCATGGAATTTTATTGGCTAGATAATAGGTATTTATTTAAACATTTTTGGAGAAGCTCCTGACTTGTTTGAAAATTGATTTTTATATTGGTCATCTGTTCTAGTCTATGGTTTTAAAATATAGCCCATCTCTTTACTATTATACCAAATAATCATATACAGCGTCAGATTTCTGAAGAAGAAAAGGACACTAAAATAAAGTCACCATCATAATAATTAAATTTAGCTAGAGAATTTCATAGAAATGTTATCATTTTTCCAGTCATGTCAAGCATTTAAAAAAACATTCAATCGAGTTCAATACTGTATTGATATAATCTTTCACACATAAAATGGCAATTGGGTATATGCAAGAATTTTAAATCTTTATTTAAATTTTAGTCTTTTCCCAATATATTACCTGAAAATATGAAAAAAAATAAAAACCAAGAAAATATATTCTTTAAAAGGGAAGAAAGGTGAATAATTTCAAATTCCTTTTCTAAAATACATTCAAACCTCCATTAAGTGATATGTGCAACAATCAGCAGCTTCGACATCCAAATGTACTAAACTATTTTATCTTCTTGCAGACAAGGGGTTATTACAAAACTGTTTTCTCAGCACCCTGCTGATTTCAATACCTACCTAATACCTATACCACACTGTGATTTTATTGAAAAGGGTAGACATGTCCTAGCTTTTTTTTTTTTAATTTGAAAAAGTTACATACTTGACTAAAAGTAATGAATAGGATCTTTTACTCTTTATAAAATTGGTTTTTTATATATACGTATATTAGTACAGCAAGAAGCATATCTATCTAGGCATGAAATAATGTCTACCAAACTTTATTCAAATGAAAGGACCGTTTGAGGACAATCCAATTTATTGAATTAACTGATTTTGATGAAGCTGAAGGCCACTTTCACATACTTCATTTCTAAAGGTGGGCTGCAAGTTTACACAATCCTACACAGTTTCCCCTAGTGTCATCAAAATGTGATGTTCCAGTTCCAGTGTTTGTCTTTCAGAAAGAAGCACTTTTAGAACATAATTTTTTATACAGTGTCCATTAGCTATAGATTATTAGGAACCCGACAATAACTCTCTCTCAAAGGAAAAAAGAAAACAAATCCATTCTTACTTGAATATATGCACATTAAACTAGTACTGTTGTTTAATGATAGGTAGAAATATTTAGTCATAAAATTCTTCTTTTTGAAGAAGCCCATCACAAACTTAAACACATATGATCCCTTGAAATTACTCTCCTCACTTTGGCACGTCTAAACCAGTATAGAAATTCTACATTGCCAGGCCTATTCTTGAAGAACATATTAGCACTGGAATTTAAAGATGGGTTTTGAAGTTTATAACATGATATTAAGACATATTTAAAAAATTAGTCTTTCGCTCTATATGCTTACAGCAAAAGAAGGCGGGGTAGAACAAATTCTCAAAAGTCTTTGGAGCATATAGAACTCTTGACCTTGAAAAATAAATCTCGCATCAAAAGAAATCTCACTTCTCTCTGAAATCTTTTTGTTTAAATACAAATATTTCATTCCAATGTTTTGTACGTTCCAATGACTCAGACCAATAACTCAAATGTCCTTGTAGTGGTGCTCTGCTCTGAGATGCTCAATTGCTCTGTTGTTTTTTTCTTCTCCATTTCCATGCTTCATTTCTTTCATGGAGCTCTGACTGGTGAAAAATCAGCATGTTTTGATGAGCTCAATACTATGAGGCAGTAAGATGAAACTGAATTTGGTGGATATTGGAGCTCAAAAATTAATATAAGACCATGTGTCAGATAAAAAAGGAAAGATATTCTCCTGTAAAAATCAGAAGAGGTAATAAGAAAAAAAAACAAAAACAAAAAAACCAACGAATAGACAGCAACTTTTTTTATACCTACACAAGCATTTCAAAACAATTGCACACTTTCAGAATGATTAACCTTTTTCTTCTTTGGAGCACTTCATATATATTTGCTAAACAATGGTTTACGTTGCCTTAAATCCAATTTCGTTGGCTTGTATTAGAGGATTGGGAAAGATTTTTCTAAGAATTTATATTTTGCTAAATGAAACATATTTGCTAAACCAGAGCAATAAAATTTCCTGGATTCTCTAATCTAGCAAGCGTAAAGCATCACTATAAATTAAATTTGTCCCACGTTTCTATATCCGAGAAGTTGCAGGACTTCTCAGTGGCACATCGTGCTGTTCACTGACAGAACCATGAGGTGTGCCCTGGGCATCCTTGGTTCACTGACAACATAGGGCACCACTTACTCATAGAGGTTAGTGCCTTTGCAGGTATTTGAGAGTTGCTATCTATTCACAAATCACTGAGCATTTCTTTTTAACAAAAGCCTTCAAATGCTCAGAGTCTGTGGTCAGTGTGGTCCTTGGATCCATCTAACGAACGAACGCTTCACCAAGGTAGAAACCAAACCATTAAAAATGGAGACATATTTACAACCGTTTCCTCTAGCCAGGGGAGTTTTTAGTTTGTTTTGCTTTGACTTTGTCTTCAGTGCATTTCCAATGCAATCTCCAAGGCTAGGAGTACAGAGTCTCCTGGCCAGTCCCATACATGTCTGCTAGTCTTTTGAAACGGGGCCCCCAGTCACTCAGGTAGTCATAGTTCTGATCAGAGTTTGAGCTGATGGACTCCAAGGAGCTGAGGGACTCAGCCACTGAGCCGTTCCCTTCGAATGCATAGGTCTGCAAGGAGTCATAAGGGGGGGCACAGGGATCCACGTCAGCTTCCTTCAGTCTCTCCCAGATAAATTCCCGGAAAATGACATTATCTGGGATGCTTTTAAAAGTCGGCCGACTCAAGAACTGAATTTCTGGAGTCACGTCCCTCCGGGTCTTGGTGTCCCTGATGACGTTGAGGTTTCTCAATGCTGCCATGTCAAAAGCTTCCGTGTCTTCCTCTCCTCCGCCCTCATCATCGTAGCGAACGATATTCTCTCTGATATCTCTCTCTTCATCGAAAATGAGGGGCTCTTTTTTCCGTCTCCTCATGGTGACAATCAGGAGGATCAACACTGAAACAGCAAAGGGAGAATTTCTGTAAACGCAGTGACTGTCAACCTGCCACCATTTAGGGCTCTGATGTTGACTCAGACTTTCTGCCCTTTCAAGGGAAATGAATTGGCTGCCCACTTACATGGGAACTCACAACAGTTGATGTGTTAAATTGCTAAAATGCCTTTAAAATAGAACACTTTAATACATCAAAAGAAATCATTTTTCCACACCTGTTCAGAATTGATGCCTCCCTCTTTAACATAACCTCCCAAACCACCTCAGTAGCATTTGAAAGAGCAAAGTGAAAGGCCAGTTCAGGATAAATACAATAATTTGAAAGCTAGGAAACACAAAGCAATTTTTTTTTTGAGCTCCTTAATTGCTGGAAAGGAAAGTGACACTTATAAATGTTTTGGGTATAATTTAGCAGCTGCAATTTCAGAAGGAAATGGATTATAGCATTTGGTCAGGTTCTTTGAAAAAATGCCTAGTACTTGTCTCTAAAACTCAGCTGTTAAATACAATCTGGCATGTCAGACTATATACAAAGATTAAAAGCTTTTTTTTAGTAAATTGAGTTTCACTTTTAGTATGAAACACTGAACTTGGTCTTTATGCATTATACTGAGAGAATATAGATTGTGAGATTTTCAGCATTAGCTAAAGACAGATTTAAGAAATCAAACACCCCTTTAATATTAGGGACTTTGCTCCTTATAACAAACTTGAAAAATGATAGAAAAGCACATGGTTGCACTAAAAAGCAAAAAAGAGCAAGTGTCCTGGCCATGTCCAATCTGGCCCTGCTCTGGCTATGGTGAATGAATGCGTGCAGAATTGGGAACACTTTAGATTTCATGGCCCCTGGATTAAGTTAAAATAAAGTAGAAAAAAATTAGAATTTAAAAATATACTTTAATGAATTATTACTAATTACCTGTGTACAAATTACATCTATTTTTAAATAATTTTTGACACACCAGCCAGATTTTTTTGGGAAGATCTTAAAGATCCAAAGGGTCACTGCTCTCAGCATATGTTTTAGAAGTTTAAAATGCTTCATTTAAGAGAGCTTGTAAGGTGTTACTTTGGCAATTAAGAATACATTTGAAAATAAAAAATGTAAGACCCACAAAGAAGGGTATCAAAGCAGCACAGAGAAATTAACCCAATGGTTAGGAGATAAAACATGCTCCATTCTCCACCTTAATCTGCTTTAAATCACAAACCTTCAAGTACTTCATATTTTTAAAAAAAATAATTTTATCTTCAGTGAAAAGTGTAGCTTTCTAAAGTATTTGTCTGCTATCTCCTTTTCCAAACATCAACAGGGATGTGACTGGTGAAGACATTTTTATTGAGGCTCTTTGGAAATAATTGTGAAACCAACTGTTTATTGTGCATTCCCCCCCCCCCCCTTTTTTTTTCTTTTCTCCCTTCACCCTGTGAGCTCAACTATAAACTTTACTGACATCCTACAATTTAGTTACTGAGATATATTTCTGAGACTTTTCTAGTACCTTCTCATGTTGCTATGGTATAAATATGCCTATTCTCACTTTTACCCCAACTCGCTACATTTGAATGTCTTCAACTGGCTTCATGTCAGATATGAAGTCCAAAATCTTGTGTACAAATTATTTCTCCATTTGTTCCCACAAGCAGTCTGGTACTCATCTCCATTCCCTGCTAAGTGGATTCCCAGCTCTTGTCTTCTGAGAATTCTCATACTACTGCAAAATCTTGTGGTTCTCAAAGTCCATGATAAAGTTACAGCTCCATTACCACTACTGTAACATTCTGCCATGGACCTGGCCCTATATGAAGGTTTATTGTCAGGAAGACTTTGGATAAAAGTCCAGCCTTTGCCACATGTTAGGTGTGTGACCTTAGGCAAGTAACTTAAATTAACTGAGCCTAGCTATCCATGGTAATTCAGACAACTTCAGTGTTCACAGGGTGATTCCAGAGGTAAAAGTCTGGAGAATAATGTCAGTAGAGCTAGCTGACTGCCAGGCCCTTGGTGAGCAAGAGAAGATTTTTTTCATCGTGATAAAATTCAAAATTCCATGAACACAGCAAGTGAAGACATTGCATTTCTCCTTCGATCGAAAGAAAATGAAGAACAAGATTAGTTAAGAAGTGAAGTCAGAAGTGTACCAAATATATGCCAAAGCCTGTGAACTAAAGATTAAGTGGGAGAAAGAAAGGGCAGTAAGGTAATAAATGAAGGTCTATACATAAGGTACAGTATTTTATATTCAATTGTTGTCTACAACCTGTCTATGGTCACTGCCCTAAAACGCAATAATTAGGGATGAGACATACCACCTCCCTGTGTGTACTTCTAGAACACTCGGAGTTCAGTGTCTCCATTGAAGGTAATGGGATGACAAGCCAAGGGCTCAAGTGGCAATTGCTAATTCAGAAAAAGACATATTTGTAAGTTTTAAAACATAGGGGCACATAAAATAATTAGATTTAGGTATATAACTTTAGTCTCTGAAACTCTTTACATAGTTCCAAAAAGATAAAAGTAATAGTTCCAAAAAGATAAAAGTAATTGTAACAGAAGGAAAGTGGGATAAAATATTTCTCTTATTGAGAAATAAAACAGGAGAGGCGAGTATCAAAGGAGATCGTGATGGGTGGACAGGTGGAGGAAGATGAAAATGAGAAATAAGTTACACATATTGGGGAGTAAAAATGAGGGGGGACACATGTCCTTTTGAGCATAAAAGGGCATAAAAGTGAATGAAGATATGAAGATAAGAATTACGTAATAATTAGATGCTCTTTAAGTCAATGTCGAAGTAGGCACAAGATGTCAAAATTCTCAACTCTCTTTCCTTCATATAATTACAATGAATCTTTTTCTATTACACACATTTGACCCTTGAACAACTGAGCATAAATTTTTATTTTTTTAATTGTTCAATTGTAGGTGACATTTTTAGTTTTAGAGATATAACATAGTGATTAGACATTTATGACTTACAAAGTGATAACCCAATAAGTCTACTGACACCAAACATAGTCATTATAGTATTACTGACTCTATTCCCTGTGCTGTGTTTTACATCCCTAACACTTTTTATAACTGGCAATATTTATGCCCTTTAATTTTTTTACTCATGCAACCACCCCTCTCCTATCTGATGACCATCAATTTTTCTGTATCTATAAGTTTGCTTCTGTTTATTTTTTTCTTTAGATTCCACATATAAGTGAAATAATATGGTATTTCTTTCTCTGTCTCAATTTCACTTAGCATAATACCAGCATAATACCTCCTAGGTCCAACCATGTTACTGTAAACGACAAAATTTCACTACTTTAATGACTAATATTCTATTGTACAAGGGTGGGTAATTTACAATTGTTCGTATGGAAAAATACATGCAGGTTTTGATAATGTCAACAGCTTTATTAACACAAAAGAATGTCACCATACAACTGTATGTTTCTTTTTCCTCCTTCTCTCGGCTGCCTCCCCATGTTTATTTCTATGTATTAGGTAGATTTGCTACTTTTCCCAGTCTTGGTAAGGTGGCATATGTAGTAGTTGTCCTATGAGGCCCATTGGCAGTTTCCCTGTTCACCTGAGCTGAGGGTTCCAGCTGTTTCCCTTTTGTCAGTTGTGTGTGCTCCCTGCAATAGTTGAACATTGATTGCTGTGTAGGTGAGCCTTAATTGCTATTGGCATGTCAGTGGGTGGTACTGACTGACTGACTATGAGGGCTGGCACAACAGAGTAGGAGTCACTAGCAGGATTGTGTTGACCATGAAATCCATCCTTAGGGTGTGTCATCTGTGCAGCTGGTTAGGTGGTATGCTGGTGTGGTCTGCAGCTGGCCACTGGGTGTGTCGGTTCTGGAACTGCTTTAGGGGGACTATGCTGTGAACTGAGGCCAGATGACACTAGTGCCTTTTGATGAGCATCACAACATGAGTTGAGGTCAGCTGTCATTTATGCCAGCTTTGTGCCCGCTTGGTTGAAGCTACATTCTGAGCTAACGCTGGCTGCAGCTCACAGTTTGAAATTACAATGAAAATTGAGACCCTTCACCACTTGCGTCAGGCTTGGAGTGGCTTAACAAGAGGTACAAGACATGAGGAGGCCAGCCACTGCTCATCTGGGGACCTATAAGGGAAAGTCCACAGCACAAGCTGAGGAAGGCTTCTAGTGTTGAAAATCCACTGGAAGCAGCTCTTGCTGGGAATGCGAGTTGAGTGGGGTGAGGTCTCAGGCTATTACCAGGGTGGAGGAACCGGTTAGGTTAATGGAGAGCTCAGATTTGGCATATGCCTATTGGTTGGAGGTGGAAGGGCTCAACAAAGGAAGAAGGGTAACCACCAGCATTTCTGTCTCTAGAGAGAGCCATCCTGATCCCTCCAGACCTCACTCTTTAGTTTCCCCCCCTCACACTTTTTTTGTGTTGGGGATAAGAATGAGTGAGTTTACAAATGAGCAAGCCTGTTTCGGGCCCCTTGAGGAACGCCTGGGTCCCCAGTAGCCCTCTAGTTTTCACAGCAAGAAGTTATGAGGAATCCTCTTCCCAGCATTGCTGCAATAGGATAAGGAGCCAGTGTGGGACTAGGACTACTTGCTCTTCAACGGGAACCTCCACAGCTGAGATATAACTCCGATTCTTAATTGTCACAAGTGGATATAGGATCAGCCTATTCTGCATATCCCATCCCCCCAACAGATTTCTCTATATCTTGAGTTAAATGAGTTAAATAAGTTCTGTTCATGGGAGGAGGCAAACCCAGCAATTACTTATCCCACTATCTTGATTGGAAGTCATAAGATTTTTTGAATGTTGGAAAATTTTTGAGAGATTTATGAAAATTTGAAAAAAACTCAAATGTATAAAATGCTAAAAAAAAAAAAAAAAAAAAAAAAAAAAAAAAAAAAAAAAAAAGGACATCATCCTATATAATAAAAGCCCAGCAAACAAATGATGGGTCTATCAGTTGCTGTGATGTGCACTGAACACCAAGGGGAATACAC